TTCATTAATTGAAATCAGCCCTTTCCTCATGAACTGAAAAAAGGCTGATATTTGATTTTTATAAGTTTTCAGATCTGTGTTGGATTGGATGTTTTACAATTTGTTTACAATGATATCATCTCCTGGTTTTCCAGCATTGCTTGGTGGCAAATGGTGGCTCTGAAACTTTGGTCAGCCATGTGGATCCTCTTGTCGATTACCTATGATTTGCGAGTGATGATTAAGTTCCTTGTATTTCCAGCAAAGTCCATGCATCTTGTTTTTACTGTGGAGAAACCATGTAAGAAATTATACACCATCATATTCTTTGTGACTGCTATGTCTGCTTCATTTGGTGCAGATTTTATTTTTAATGGCAATGGATTATACTGCTACTATATGCCGATAAACATTTAATGAGCTAATTTTTTTCCACATTAATGCTAGCTTTTAATTTTTTGTCGGATTTTTGAGCACTCCTTGTTTGATATCTTTCTGGTATTTTATTTGTGCATCGGTGAATCGTTCCTACTATATTTTAAAAAACGTCTTTCAGTCTGTTGTTATGTTTTTTAGAGGTTATCGATGAAGCTGATTTGTTTTTGAGAAGTTGTTGATCTGCCTAATACACTTAAGGATGAGATTACAGTTCGTTTGAATATAATATGATTTGATACAGTGTTTTAGCACCTTTTAAGAAACGAATCAGTAAATTAGAACATGATGCTACATAAAAACACACAGTAGGCCGTGAAATGTGAAGTTATTTCGTTGCAGTATCGTAACTGTCGAGTACTTGTCTGATCGTGCTTCCTGTACTGTCCTAATGTTCGTATTTTGTTTCACACCGAGTGCAGAATGGTTATTTCCACGGTCATTTTTTTTCGTTCGTTGTTATCAAAATTATTTATCACCACTCAAATGATGGATGTTGTGTATCTCGTTATTACAGTCTTTTCGTACATTAGTTAAGTTTAGTTACAATTCTGCTGCAAAACCTGCAGTTCTTTCATCGATGACTCTAATTATTCCAAATTTTCGGTCATTCTACTCAGTCACAGTATCAACTTTGTGGATGGTTTTGATGATTAAAATTATGAATTATAGGCTAGGAATCTAAAATGTTTTCAAGTTTTGGAAGTAGGTCGTATTTTGTCAAGAATAAGCCAAGCAACTGATTTCCATGAGTGAAGCAGGATTATATTTCCTAGTGGAGCTGCGAATGTTTTCAGTACTTCTTTTTGTTCTGGAGAAGCTCTTAAATGCGATAGACAGAGGTCAAGACTTTCTTGTCAGTTTTCTTGCTATTATTTGTGACCAAGACATTTCTGGAAGTGCTTGATTTTGTGTATTTAGTTTTTCTGTTTTCATGCTCTCCAATTGGAGTTTTATAATAATACCAGGATGAGATTCATTTCCCCTGAGTGTCGCGATGTTTTCAGCATTTAAATTTGTACCATTTATTCACAAAATCACTGTAGTGGATGTAATTGTTTTCAAGTTCAAGTTGTTTCAAGCATTTATATTATTCAATAAAGACATTAATTTGTATTGTGCAGATGTAAAGTCAGTGATGGACTGGACTCTTTGTACTGTGCTAGAACTGAGCGGGGCTGCTTACGCTCTGCTTTTCAGAGCAGGGCATTGTTACTGATCCACAGGTGATATTGCAAAGTAGTGCATGAAGTGACAAATTCATGTTTGTAAAAAATTGTAACTTTAATAACACTAGACCATCTTACAAATACGGGAAGTGTCCTACATTGACTGTTTTCAAACGAAATGCTGATATATGAAGTATTAAAAGACGAAAGAAATACATTACGTCTTACAATGTTAGAGACTATAAACATACTAGACAAACATGGTATCTTGTCAACAAACATCTCAAGGAAGATGTAGACATCGTCTGCAATGGGGACAAAGATTTTCGATTCTGACAGCTTCAATTTGCGAAGATTTGCGCCATTTAAGCACAATATGATCTATTCCTCCGCAATTAATCTTGTGTACATGTAGCGGTTGATCCTCTGCAAAGAGAAATGTGAATAGAAGCTGACAAATCAGCAATGTTTATCAGATCAAGTGAGTTTGTTTTACACTTGCATTAGCTTGCTTCTCTCAATTAGAGGTGGTAAGTGTTTGGAAAGATTATCACTGTCAATGTAACAGTGCTTTGATTTCGAACCTACTCATTTCATTAATTAACTAATAATAACTAGTTAAAGAGCAACAATGAAACATAAACCTCGCATTAAACACAGATTGTCCAGGAAGGTTATATTAAGGCGGGTGCTCGAGCCGGATGACGTAGACCTGGAAGTGCTGGGAACATCTTCTTCGTCTCTCGTTTCAACAACAGGTGATGATGAAGGGTTATCGCCATCCAAATCTCCATCATTACGTAATAATATCTCCTCTGTCACTTGACCATCACGTAATGACGCCTGCTCCGTTACTCTCTCATTGCCTGTCGCTTCATTATCAAGTGATAACGTTTCTTCCGTTAGTCCATCATCATCTGTCGTTTCATCATCAAGTGATAATGTTTGTTCCGTTAATCCATCATCATCTATCTCTTCATCACCACGTGATAACACTTGTTCCGTCGTTTCACCATCATCTTCACTTTCGTTCATTTCTTCATCACCAGACATCCAGTCACTATTTATGTTTGATTCATCAATCATATTCCTATCCTCCCCATCGTCATCATTGGAATCTTCGTTTTCTTCATCTCTTTCCTCATCCATTCCTTCAGAGTCCTCTTCACTGACTTCCATAATCGTAGCACCTTCTTCAAGTATTTCCGTATCCAGGTCCATGCTTATTACTCTTACTTCACTGACCTGATCCACATCAAGTATTTCTATATCCGAATCCATGTCCCTTTCCTCTACTTCATTATTCTCAACTACATGAACCACATCCGGACGATCCTCTTCTTGTCTACTCGTATGATTTTCCTGGAGAGCTTGTATCATTTATTAAAAAACAAAATTTGTAATATAATTTGCAGAATGAGCAATCAAAATATGTTTAAGAAATAAGGCATAACATGGCGCGGATTAAACTTTTTTCCAATGTAACAAAGCTTGCAAACCTCTGAGTCCATCCGCCTCATCCGCTTAGGTGGCATGTGGGGCCAGTGTACTCTGGTTGCTTGTATTATCTCCGCTGTATTCATATCATCATCACTATCAATGACTATCACTTCTGGAACTTATGAAGAATTAGTCTCTGTAGTGATAAAATATATTATACAATCATACTTGCATATATACGTCACAGTTCACATTTGCAATATGAATGGCTCAGTGCTAGAAGTATTTTTTCGATTCCTGGAAGCAGAACGTTACTGCATTTTATTTCTTATAGCTCTTTTATGATCAAGTGACTTCAACTGCAAAATTGATACAATTTGTTAAATAATAAATGCGTTAAATAATACATATCTTAATAATTATAAATTTGCTTGGCCTACCAGGTGTACGTGCTCGCCTACGTGTATCGGCAGTAATTGCGGGTATTTGGATGTCACTACTGTCACGTTCGCTACGACTGGAATCATGAACTGGAGAGGAAGACATGCTGCTCCA